GAGTTTACGTTTCGTTTTGGGGACCCTCAAAGGGTGTAGCAGCTCATAAAGTTAGGGTGGAGCAAGGCAAGGATTTAAAAGCAAATAGAAGAATTTAAAAAAATGTTTGAGTAGCAAGTTAAGCAAAATAAAATGAGATATGTGCTCACGTGCATGTGAGCAGCATTTTGTTCCCTCTGCAGTCAGGCAGTGAGGACCCCCTAAAGCTGATTAACTGTGGCAGCCATCTTGAATTGTGTTCAGTTTCAAGGTTAACTAGTTGAATACACATCTGAACTATTTTAACAATTATCATCCACTGAAATGCACAAAATCTGAACATCAATCTATCAGCAAACATCTAGCTGCGGTAATTTTTCCATCCAAACCTTAAAAGCTGTGGCAGTCGGTCTGGCCACAAATGCACGTTAGTGTATGGTTGTTCATTTTGTGTGGGACAGGCAGACCTCCAGCCTGTCGCGGTGGGTGGCAGAAGGCAGCAAGCGAGAGCGCACACAGCCTTTCACCAATCTACGGAGGTTTAGTCCAGCTGTCTTTTCCTATTCTGTGATATTCACAGGGATAATGACACGGAGAGTCCGACAGTCCTGCTGGTGTTTTAGTTTAATGCTCCGAGCTCCAGGAACCGTCATCATGCTGCTCTGATCATCCTTGAAAGGAGGAAGATACGCTGTCACTATCAGTTATTCTAATTTTCCAGGAGACACCCACATGGATCAGATCTTCTGTTTAACCAGAACAAGCTTCTCTTTTGAAAAGTCTCTAAAGTTCCAGTCATACAACGCCAAATATTTATTTTATCCAATATAGAGAGTTCTGCATATCTGAGTTTTTAAACTCTCTTTAACCAAATCATAATAACGCTGAAATAATTTGTTTTAAGAAATAAAGATGATCTGCCCTCGGTGCTCAATTTCAAACTCGAGTACTAAAATCAAAATCCAAATTAAGAATATTTGTGAAGTTATCGATCAGGCTCTGTACAGACAAACAAACAAAAACTAGATTCATCAAATCTTTAGTGCTTGTGCTTCTTGTAGGTTTACTGCACCTCATTTTCTGTCCTCCCACCAGGTAGTAGCAGTCTGCAGTTTGTTCAAAAATACTGCAGTAAAAAAAAAAAACACACACACAAACACCACAGACAGACAGGAATTCTTTGCTCATATTAAGGCTGATGTATTAAATTAAACCAAAGGCTCTGTTTTTTGTTTATCACTAACTGATCTCATCCCAAAAGACAATTGTTCTGCTGCTTTGGAAGATCCCTCAGATGAGCAAATTAACATTTAAAGCCAGACTTTAAATTTATTCATACTATGAGTTTATTGAGTGTTTAAAACTTTTCATTTGAAATAAAAATGAAATCAAAGTATTAATGTGAATTTCATGTGGCCTTTCCTCTCCTGGATTGTGTTCTTGCCATGAAAACATGACTTTACTTGCTTGTGAGAGATTTACAGTAGTCCCTCATTTATCGTGGGGATCCGTAACCTGAAGCCCCATGATAAGTGAAAAACTATATATGTACAGTGTATGTTATATATATGTGTGTGTGTATATATATATATATATATATATATATATATACATAACTCTAAATGCTGTAAAAGAGCACAGCATGTCATGATTTCAGCTCTCTGCCTCTGGCTGCACTCGGCCATCTGCCAGCGCTTTCGGCCACGCCCACTTCTCTGCTGCAGAGCGGAGGTGTGATGCTGCACGAGGAAACTTCTCCAGCAGGTGCTAAATAATTTTAAATAATTTATTTTAACTACAAAATCCATGCTGATCGTGCGACTCATCCATCAATCAGCCAATTGTGTCATGTCCAATCCTACTTTGAAAAACCACGATAGAGCGAGTCTGCGAAAAATGAACCGCAAAGTAGCGAGGGACTATTGTACCTTTCTTCTAATGAAAGCGGTGTTCTGAAGCCGCTAACTTAAGTCACAAACTTTACTTCTGTTGTTGTGAATGCTCCTTCTGTGTCAGGGACAAGCCTTTACCTCATATTCTCAAAGTCTCCTATGAAGCAGGAGATGAAATGATGGATTGGGGCTTTGTTTCCAGCAATGAGGGTGTTGTTCCGGTCTGATGTGGTGAAGTAAGAGTTGAATGAAAAGACAGAGCTTTTGATTTGTTGGTTAGTCTACATTTCAACTCTCACCTGTGTTCATGAGCCATAAATCATGACTAAAGACATATTTCTCATTTGTGGGGAGTTCAGAATAAAGCTGCTGGTCCTCCTCATTGAAACAAGTATATATATATATATATATATATATA